TATACATCTCAAGAACTTTAAGTGATGAATTAAACACACACAATTAAACTACTCAGTAACAAACAAAAGGGAAAAATATCATTTCTAAATAGTACTTACCATCATAAAACCAAACCTCAAAATTAGCATCAGGAGAATTCTCCATCAAAATACATTTAGCATATCTTGTAAAATAGGTGATTTTGGGAGATTTAGATCTTACGAGCTGTACAAATCTGGAAGCATACTGGTATTTTTTCCAGTATTTTTCTAAAGGGAGAAAAATTATTCACTATTTAGGAAAGAAAGTACTGACATACAGTTTTACCATTTGTGATTTCCTTTCTTTTTTTTTGTATTTAGGGCAGGGTCTACAGGGTCTCACGGTGTAGATTGGATGTGTAGTGATCCTCTTATTTACAGCCTCCCAAGTGCTGGGATTGTAGGCACACACCACCACGCCCAGTCTCAGTTGCCATCTTGTACACCCCAGGGGTGGGGCCAGCACCGCAGGTCGGGGAATCGAACTCCCGGTCCCTGTGTCTGCCTGAGCAGGAGCTTTAATCCTCTGAGCTATTTGGCTGGCCCTCATTTGTGTTGATTTCTAATATGGTTTTTACTTCTAAAAATCACCATGATGATGTCTTACTATCCGGTACTTATTTCCCCACCTATACTGTTCAGGAGTCAAGTTTGGTTAACCATATTTATGTACCATAGTGAGGATTTCAAAGTCAAAAACTAGACACTTAAGTGTTGATTATAGTCAGATTAGTAACTAAACAAGTGAACAGATATTTGCATATTCCACTATTTAGAATTTAAACACAATGAAGGCCAGGCATAATGATGCAGGTGGGTAATTCCAGCTACTCAGTAGGCTGTGGCAGAAGAATTGCAAATTCAAAAACAGGCTGGTCAACTTAGTGAGACTGTTAGAATTTAAAGAGAGCTGGGTATATAGATTAGCGTGTTCCCTGCCTAACTTTAATTCCCAGTAAGCTTAAAAAAAAAAAAGAAGTACCAGTGACACAACACAAAGACTCATAAGGTATACCAAATCTCATCAGATACAAAGTGTAAGACTGCGACCTGATGCAACCAAGAAGTTGATACCTAGCACAGCAAGAGGAAGAGAATGTATGCACATACAGATACATCTATTATCTGAACTTACCTCCTAGTAAGTTTGCATACCTGGTAAACTGTCAAAACTGTACCTAGTGATGCTACTGGCAGGTGAGGGTGGCTGATCAGTAAGAGGAAAGCCTCTTCCATCATCTGGATAATAAACAGTGATCTGGTAAAAAATGTTTAAGATTTCTAATCAGACACTATTAAGATGCACCGTTTTGCCAAAATGTATGAAAAGGGTTCAAACATAAAATATTTTTATGGAAAAATGTTAGAATACCCTCTAAAAATAGGGTTATTTTGCTTATTAAACTTAAACCAAGACTTCAAATTGTATTACTAGTTATTTATGTTTTACAATGCTCGGGATGAAGCACAGAGCCTTCTGAATCATAGAAAAGTGCTTTAATATTGAGCTACACTCCCAGCCCTATAATTATTTTTAAAACTGTACTGATTTATTAAAATATAGTTAGCATCTTTCTTTAGTTTTTAAATTCCAGAGACACTTTCATATTAGGAAAGCTGATTTTAAACAAATTTAAAGATTTCAGTGTAAAATAAATTGAAATGCTGAATGTTTAAATGGTGGTATCACTTTGCAAGTTAATAAAATAAGGACCTTACCATTTTTCCATCACTAGCTATTTGAAGAACTTCTTTCACATATTCTTGGGATGCATGCTCCTTTAGAAGCTCCACACACACCTCCTCTGAATCAAGTATGCTCACCTAAAGAAAAAACCAAAATCACTAAAAAATTTCCTTGTTAACCAGAACATCACTGACACACAGGATTCATAAGAGAATAGTACTTAACCATAGCAGAAAAATAAAATAAAACAGCCACTTCACTCCAGCAGGTTAGACTGGAGGTATACTTGAACACTGCTGTGAACCAGAAGGTGCTATGGTGAAGATGGGTGATGAAGTGTGAAATTATTAATAACTGGGGAGCAGAAGGTAGGGTGGAGTAAGGACTCTGGAGAGACAATAGCAAGCCACACAAAGGCAAGACTGGCTGAGGTGGGAAATGGCAGATGCAGCCCCTTTTCTACTTCACACAGGATAAATTATAAATTCTCCATGTGCATGCTCCTTTTCTTTAAAGTTTTAGTTGTCAAATACTTTTTAGTTGTTAAATAAGTTATGTTTTCTCATTTGTCTGTATGTGACTGAATACAGAAATAAAAACTGAAGAGTTATAATAAGTATAATGCACTAATTGGAATTGTGGGTATTTTAAGTTTATGGCCAATATTTTAAAATATTTTTATTCAATAACTTCTTTTTAAGTCTACAATTTAAAATTCAAAGCTGTAAATATCAATTCATCATTTTTAAAAGCCTACAGTGAAAAAATAGCTGTTTCCCACGAATATCCAATGTTTTTTCCCTTAAGTAGTTTATGAGGTAACACATTCTTAAGTCCAAGGATATCATAGGGAGCTAAAAAAATATATTCTTTCTCTCTTTTTTTTTTTTTTTGGCAGAACCAGGGACTGAACTCAGGCCCTTGTGCTTGCCAGGGAAGCGCTTATTCTACTGAGCCATCTCCCTGGCCCCCAAAAAATATATTATTAAGAATTATGTTGCCCGGGGGCCAGGGAGATGGCTCCATAGGATAAGCACTTGACTGGCAAACGCAAGGATCTGAGTTCAATCCCCGGTTCCGCCAAAAAAAAAAAAAAAAAATATTATGTTGGCCCCCAGCCACGCCTTGCCATCTGGCCCTGCTGACCCTTGCTGCGCTGCCCCTGGCGCTCGCGTTGGCCCGGCCCTCGGGTGTACTATGTCTGGCTCTTCCAGCGTCACCGCCGTGAAGAAAGTGGCTCAGCAGCTGCGGCTGGAGGCCGGGCTCAACTGCGTGAAGGTTTCCCAGGCAGCTGCAGACTTTAAAACAGTTCTGCCTGCAGAATGCTCAGCATGATCCTCCGCTGACTGGAGTATCCTCAAGTACAAATCCCTTCAGACCGCAGAAAGTCTGTTCCTTTTTGTAGTCAAATGAATTCTTAAGAATTTCCCAGACCACTTTTCATCAACCAGTGACAATTCAAAAAAAGAAAATTGAAGCCTATACAACAACTTCCCCTTTCTTAACATGTGCCATAACATACAATCTTCTACTTTGTCAGTCCTTAACATCTACCTCTTTGGATTTTCATGAATTTCTATTTCACGAGGGTATTTTATATACACTGGTGCCAACATACAATAAAATACTTATTATAAAAAAAAAGAATTATGTTATAGGA